CCTCTCTCCTGAGTTTGTTACCTTTTGGACATTCCAAACTAGATATCCCTGAGACATCTCAAACTTAACATGTCCAAAATGGAAATCAGCCTTTCCTTCAAACCCTTTCCTCTTCCAAACTTCCCTATTTCTGTCAAAGCCACTTCTGAATGGTGAAAGGATGAAGGAAAGGATTGCCAGTCTTTTAGGTTACACTTTCTCACCCCACATACCCAGTCATTTGCTAAATCTTGCCCAATTACTCCTACCTTCTACCTACCTTCCTATTTCTATGATATAAGCTCATAGTCCATGAGCCAACAAACAAAAATGAGGAGTGATCAGAGAAGAAGGAGAGAGTAGTATCACAGAAGCTTAGGAGAGTAATCAAGAGGAAAGGATTGTTAACAGGATCAAATAAGGCAGGTAGATCAAAAAACATGAGGACTGAATAAAGATAATCAGGTTTCATAGTCAAGAGATCATTGCTAACTTTGGACAGAGCAGTTTCAGTTGAGGGACAAGGTTGGAAGCCAGATTATAAAAGGTTAAGGAGTAAATGAGAGGAGAGAAAGTGGAGGCATCAAATATAGTTCATGTTTTCAAGGAGTTCGACTGAGAAAAGGAGGTGAGATCTAGAATGATGACGTGAGGAAATGGTAGGGTCGACTGAAATGTTTTTAAGGAGCGGGGAGACTAGGGTTTGTTTGTCTGTTGTTCATCCTTTGTTCTTGAAGAAGACCAGTGACATCATGAGGGTGATGTCTTGACTTACACACGAATTAGATTTGAGTGAGGTAGAGCTGAGCAAAGTCATCAGCCTCCCCTTCTCCTCCGGTATCATAGACAGGCAGTAAAGAAGAAACTAACAGAAAAGTCAAATGTTCCAGAGTGAGGGGAGAATGATTGGTGCTGAAATCTGCTGGAGAAGACTGGAGGGGATGAGGTCTAGGACACATATAGAATGGTTGGCTTTGGTAAGGAAAAAAGTCATTGTCAGAGACTGGGAGAAAGGAAGAGAGTGGAACATATAAGTCAAGAGATTGTAAGATGAAAAAAATGTAAGAAGGGAGAGATGGCCTCAATTTTCTCTGAAATCAAAGATCAGCAATTGGCATGGGGAAGGGAAGACTCAAGATCAAGAAGAGCTAACAGTGGATGAAGGGCATCCACTCCAAAAGAGATCCAGGCTAACCTCAGAAGTGACCAAGAAGCTGCCCCCCCCACTAGATTTCTGTCTATAGATTTGGCCTGTTAGCTTAACTAGGCCCTGGTTTCAGCAGTGGGGAAAGTTCTTGGGACCATTGAAGGGGTCGTGGGACAGTCAGGGAAGTCTCACGTCTATACCCCACACTTGGTGGTTTATATTCTGGCTCTCTGTCCAGAGAAATGATGGCTTTATTAATCACTTTTTATGTGCAATGCACTGGGCATAACAAAGACAAAAAAGTCTATATCTCTGAGCTCAAGGAACTTAAATTTTATTTGAAAGAAAAATCAACAAGGCCTCGGTGGTTTTCCTGCTCCCACCTCTACTCCCACTTACCTGTAAGTTAAAAAAAAAAAAATTAGGGCATAGTTTACCAGTCCAGAGTGAAATCATCGCCATCTGGAGTAACCTATCTGCTGTTAAGCTGAAAGTTATATAAGAATGCATTGTCTGAAAGTAGCAGAGATGGAAAAGAAAATCAGAAACAGATTTAATACTTGGGACACGGGCTTTTGTTTGTTTGTTTTCATGCAGCATCCAGAGAAGTCAGCAACAGGAAAAACCATTTTGCCAGCCAACATCTGTATTTTTCCCTTTGAATCCTTATTTATCTTAGGGCTACCTCTTTAAATAGCAGCTGTGCCCTCCACAGTCTACTTTAGAGTAGGCCTTCTTGAGATTCTCACCTGCCTTCTGCCTTCAATTTGGGAAAGAGATTAACTGAGCTGAGCTGAGCTGAGCTGAGCACACCTCTGTCCAGGAATTAGTCATTATAATGCCTTATTATAAAGCACTTTATTGTATTCAGAATGCTCCTGTAGCCATTCAGTCCTTTGGCAACCTTGAGGCATAAATGGGAAAGGTACTTTAAGCCCCATTTCATAGATAAGAAAACTGAGCCCAGAGAGGTTAGCTGAAATACCTAGTCTCACATCTCGTGACAAAACCAAGAGTAGCAGCCAGACCTGTCCCCACTTAGGATCCCACCACAGTTCTCTTTCCACTGCACCACATCTCTCACTACTAGGTAGGACTCAGGCAAAGAGACAAGAATAGCAGGAGAGGTAACACGGAAGGGTGCTTGGTATCCTTTCTTTTTTTGTGGCTGAGGTGGATGACACTTGGCCCCAATGAGTCACCATCGGTTTAGCCTTTAGGAACATACCCACATCTGGGCTGGCTGGCATCTTCCTGCCGATGAGGCTTTACTTCATTTTCATCCATCCCTGTCCCAGTGCCAATGCCTCTCAGCCCTGACCTCTGGCCCACAGGATTCCCATCAAGGCTCTACAGCCAAGCTGGGCCAGTGCATAGCACTGAAAGAATGTTGGCCAGCCCCGGAGACAGGGAGGATCACTAAAGCCCCATGGGATTATTTGTTTTATAGGAGGCAAACAGCAGGCCAGAAATCCCAGTGCTCTGAGCCTCATCCAAATATGTTTGTGCTGAAATGCCCCTTTTCTTGCCCACCTATGGGGACAGCCCAGCATTTCTTTTTTCCAATTTAGGAGCGATTGACTTTAATCCCTGTTATCTCAATGAAAAGACAGTGGGTGGGTTGGGGAGGGGGGGTGTCGCTGGAAAGGGCCAGAGTTGGACTCTCTGGACAACCAGCCAAGATAGTCACAGATGTCATCCAATAGGTGGCCTGGAGATCCTTTCTCCTACCCCTGTGCCCTGAAAACCTGGATGAAGCCAGGCATAGACCCAGTTATCTGTCTGATTGAACATCTGTCTTCAAGGAGGTCCATGTGCCAATCACAGCTTTTTAAAAAGTCCCTTAAGAAGCAAGACGCAAAAGGGCTGAGAGTTTGGAGATTCTGGAGCCAGGAGCTCCCCACATCACATAGGAGTACTATAGAAATCCTAGAACTAGATGTGGCAAAGACCAGATAGAACCTTGGCCCTTTCTCAGCTGTAGTGTATGGAGGGGGTTCATCTCTAGCTTCACCCCCTCCCCACCTCCAATCCCACTGAGGGCCCTAGAATTTTACCCATTCCAGAAGGAACAGAACTGAAATCCAGTCCCTTTCTCTAGTTCCCTTCAACATGTTCAACAAGCCTTATTTATATTTCTCTAATTAATTAATTACATTCTCCAATGTGGGAAAGCATATAGGTACATAACAAAACAGTGAACTCATTATTATCTCTCCCTCTTCCTAACTTCCTCTTTACTCTCAGGATACCAGGGTCCTCCCATTCAGCCAGGCTCACAATGCAGGTGTCATCCTTCCCTCCTCACTCTCACCCCTCCTGTCTATTCTGTTGCCAGTTCTACTGAAACCTATCTTGTACTTGTCCCTTTCTGTCTTCTAACACTACAGCCACCCTGTTGCAGACACTCATTACCTCATTGCTAGACTTTTACAATAACCTTCTGGTTGGTCCACAACTTATTCAGCTATTCTCCAATTCATGGGCATCCCCTTAATTTCCAATTCTTTGCCACTACAAAAAGAGCTGCTATAAATATGTTTGTATATATGAGTTCCTTTCTTCTTTCTTTGATCTTTTAGGGGTATTGACCTAATAGTAGTATCACCGGTCAAGGGGTATGCACAATTTAATAGCTTTTGGGACATAATTCCAAATTGCTTTCCAGAATGTTAGTTCACAGCTCTACCAACAATGCACTTGTCATTTTCCATTTTTGTCATTTTCACTAATCTGATGGGTATGAAGGTGGTACCTCAGAGTTGTTTTAATTTATATTTCTCTAATTATTAGTGATTGTGGAGCATTTTTTAAAATATGGCTATTGATAGCTTGGATTTCTTCTTCTAAAAATTGCCTGTTCATATCCTTTGACCATTTATCAATTAGGTAATGGCTCTTTTTCTTGTTAATTTTATTCAGTTCCATCTGTGTCTTAGAGATAAGACCTTTATCTAAGAAACTTGCTGCAAAGATTTTTTTTTCTCAGTTTACTGCTTCTGATTTTAGCTATACTGGTTTTGTTTGTGCAAATACTTTTTAACTTTATCTAATCAAAATTATTTATTTTACCCCCATTGAATCTCTGTTATCTCTAGTTTGGTTATGAACTCTTGTCCTTTCCATAAATCTGAGAAGTAATTTATCCTGTGCTTTGATAATTTGCTTATGATGTCACCCTTCATGTCTAAATCGTATACCCATTTTGAGTTTATTATGGTATATGGTGTGAGATGTTAGTCTATACCTAGTTTCTACCAGACTACTTTACAGTTTTCACAACAGTTTTTGTTGAATAGGGAGTTCTTGCCCCAATAGTTGGGACACTTGGGTTTATTGAACATCAGGTTATGATGTTCATTTCCTTCTGTATAAAGTATACCTAATCTGCTCCATTGGTAAATCTCTCTGTTTATTACCCAGTACCAAATTATTTGATGATTACAGCCTTTGTAGTATAGTTTGAGATCTGGTGCTGCTAGGCCCTTTTCCTTCCTATTTTTTTTTCATTGATTACCTTGATATTCTTGACCTTTTGATCCTCCAGAAGAATTTAATTATTTTTTTCTAGCTCTATAAAACAATTCTTTGGTTGTTTAATGGGTATGACACTGAATAAGTAAATTAATATAGGCAGTATTGTCATTTTTATTATGTTGGCTCTGCCTACCCATGAGTAATCAATATTTCTTCAAATGTTTAGATCTATCTCGTATAAAGAGTGGTTGTTATCCTTTGTATTCAAAGAAGACTACAATGACATCACTATGTCGGGATCAATATACAGTGTGTTTGACTGTGGCTGAGCAAACCAATACAAGCTTTTATTTTATCATTATATTCACATAGTTCCTGTGTGTGTCTTGGCAGGTAGAAAAATATGGAATGCTTCATGAATTTGTGTGTCACCTTTGCTCAGGGTTCACGCTAATCTTCTGTATTATTCCAGGTTTATCTGTGTATATATGCTGCCAAAGTGAGCAGCAAGAGGACATTTTGGAGAAGAGAGACTACTGGGGACATAGCGATAAAGAGAGACAGTTCCTGGTGGTCTCCTTATTTACTTCACTGTCAATTATGGTTTTATGCTAAATTAACTTGGTCTCTCAGAGTTTATTTTCCGTTTCTTCATTTTGAAGGTCTTAATTAAGCTAATCCATTTGATGAGGCTAACCCCTCACACAGCATAAGGTCACCCTGGTTCTGGGCACACTTTAGAAACTCCTTCATCTTGCAGATCAGCAAAAGGTGAACTGCTATTTACACCCTGGCTGGTACCCAAGTTTTGTTTCTGCTGTGTTTTAGGTACTAGGGGGATGTCTGCTCCTGATATGCTGTAGGCTTTGGGCAAGTTCAGTCATCTCATTGTGGCTCAGCTTGCCTATCTATGCATGTCAGCTATTGTGAAGCAAAAGCACATGACACTGGGCCTGCTTTGGAGGATCTTGGGGAAGTGGGGTGAGGGGTTGGGTGCCATCAGTCACCTTTATTGCAAATGCTCTTCACAGGCATCCTTCCCCTTGCCCTATTCTCACCTGCTGGCTGGTCTGCCCAAGCCAGGGTCCCCAGATGGCATTTCTGCCTAGTTACTGCTCCTCAGAGAAGGCTTAGTTTAGTTCTTAATCTGAATCCTCTTGATCAGTTTGGTCCCTGGTTGAACCACATTCTAAAACTCAGGTAGACAAAAAAACATCATTGGTCAATAGAGCTCTCTTCGGATGCTCTGAGCAGAGCTCATCCAGCCATCTAATGGCCCCCTGTTATTTCATAGGGAAGGGTCAGCTTCCTGCTTCAGAAGCCAGTTAACTAGTTTGTGGACTCTCTTAGCCCAGTTTTCCTCTTCCCTGGATGGGCAACCCTTCCCCCCCCCCCCCCCCCCCCCCCCCAGCCCCCGGGGCCTTGAGAAGAGCTGGGACCCCAAATCACCCCTTTTCTTCCTGTTGAATAATTCTGGCCAGAAGTTGGTTAGGAGAAAGTTGGTGCTGTTACCTGTTCTAGGCTTCATGGATTATCTGTGGATTTCAGTTTACTAGGTCCACAGTGAATGCAGAACTGGCTGTACCAGGAACCCAGAAGAGTGGCCAAGGAGTGTTTTTTTCTACCTATGTGGGAAGTTGTAATGCCCTAACCCCCTCAAAAGACAATCCTCAATCTTGGTGTCATAAATCTCTGGGTCTTTTTCCATCTTGGGCATTTGTAGGACAAGAAAAGGGAGAGGTTGTGAGCTAACACTGTTGTTTATAGGATAATTAAAAGTATTTCACTAAAAGCCATACAAACACTGTTGTTAAGCTGATCTATCAGCCTTTCTGTAGCATGGGACTAAGAGAAGAACTCTTTTCTCATGTGACTAATTTTTTATTGCTTAGGTTGGCCATGATCTAGTCCATTAGCAGGCAATGACTCCAGAATATTCGGAAGACCCAAAGTTACATACTAGCAAAACATGAAATTTTTTTTATGCTTAGTGCCTGAGCCAAGATACACACAGTTCTACATTTTGTACATCTAGCCCCTTCTACCTTCCAAGGAAAAAAATAAATTATTGAATAAATAAATAAATCATTGAAATAACACCAAATTCTCCAGGGGTGGCAAAAAAAATTGTGCTAATACACAATCCAAACTTCTGCTCCTGAAGTTTGAGAAATGAATATGGTGGAATGATAGCCCAGCAAAACTGAAAAGGTTGAGACACTGACCACAGATGGTCCTGCTTGGCTGAGGGTACATTCCTCACTGTTGTGTAAGAGGCAGAGTTGGAATGGCTAGGCACTGAGAATAAGGAGTGATAGAAGATGTAGGTCTTCTTGTGGGCTGGGAAATTAATGAACTGAGGCACCACTACCTCATCTCCAGTTAGGGTTGCTGTAGACTATTATTAATTGTTGTGTGTTTTAGCCCAGGTTTGAGGTGCTTGCTGGTATCTCTCGATATCCAGGGGTGCCCCAAGATCTTCCAGATGCACAAATGGCTTTAAACTCACTTTCCTTAGTTGTCTGTCATCCTCAAGGAGCAAGCAACAGCAACAGGGCTTGTGCCTTACAAAGGGTGCCTAGATGCTGTAGTGAACGTACACAGAGCAGGGCTGCTGGGGGCCTTGTCTGCCGATCAGGACCCCTAACCAGAAGGCTGGCCCTACATACCTGCCCCAGAATAGCTCCTCCCACAAGTGTGTCAAAACTACCACCAAAGTTCACCCCATTGTGTTAGCGGAGTTGGTGGCATTATCTCCAGAAAGTCACTGTTACTTGAGCTGGCAAAAGGGAGGAAAGGTAGAAGCAATCCTTTGACTTTTTCGTTATCACAGTAGCATGGATTCATTGAACACTCTTCCCTTCTACCTAAGATGCATTCCTCTTCTTAGCAGTTCTTCAAAACCATTCCCGTTCTTCAGTCAGTCATTCAGTAAACATTTATTAGCATTTGTTTCGTGTCAGGCATCATGCTGGGCACTAGAGATATAAACATTAAACACTTCTTGCCCTCAAAGAGCTTATATTCTATTGGGTTGATGAGAAAAAAAGAGAGAGAGAAAGAAAGGGGTATATGTGTGTATATATGCATATATATGGGGTATATGCATATATATATGTACAAAAATAATTTTTGGAGGAAAAGGCACTAACAGCTGGACAATCGGGACAGCCTTCAATAATTCAATCAATAAGTATTTATTAGGTATTCACCATGAAAAAATCAGGAATAATCCCTGCCATCAAGGACCTTACAATCCCGTAGGGGAGATGACATGTACCAAAATAAGCAACATATAAGGTGTGTACAGAGTTAGCCTTAGAGGAGAGGGAAGGCGCTCACAGCTCAGGGAGGCTGAGAAAGGCCTCTTGCAGAAGGTGGGAGTGGAGCTTAGTCTTGAAGGAAACTGAGGATTCTAAAGAGGCAGGAAAGAAGAGCATCCCAGGCATTGAGGCCTTGAAGATGGGAGACAGAGTGTTGCATGTGGAAGGAACAACAAATAGGCCGGTATGACTCATGATATAAAATGCTCTTCTCCACATTGAGAACTGGTGGACTCAGAGTGCAGATTGAAGCATATTTTTTTCCTTTATTTTTCTTGCTTTTTTTTTTTTGGTCAATGCATAAATATGTTTTGCATGACTATATGTGTATATTGTGTATCATATTTCTCACCTCAGTGGGTGGAGTAAGGGACAGAATGTGGAACTAAAAATAAAACTTAAAGGTAAAAAAAGCAAATAGGCCAATATGAATGAACTATAGCATATGTGAAAGAGAGTGATGGATAAGAAAACAGGAAAGGTGGGAAGATGCCAGGTTATGAAGAGCTTTAAGTGCCAAAGAGACACATTACTTGATCATAGAGATAATAGGAAGCCACTAGAGTTTATTGAGTGAGGGACAAGGAAAGATGACATAATCAGATGTGTGTATTAAGAAAATATCTTTGATACCTGTATAAAGGATGGATGAGAGTAGAGACAGATTTGAGGCAGAGAGACCAATTATGATGTTGTAGCAGTCCAGGCAAAAGGGATTGAGTTTCTGAATTAGAGTGGTGTCTGTGTAAGAAGGTGATGATTAAAAAGGTTCGAAAGACATAGTTTCTGGGTAATTTAATCATTTTATTAGTAATTTATTAATAAGAGCAGGTTATTAATAAAAGGATGGTTAAAAAAAAAAAGGATGGTCATTTGGCTGTCTCTTTTAGACCAAAGACCCCTAATGGTGGTGGGATCACAGTTTATAATGCCCTTTAAAGAGTCGGTGTTCCTGAGGGGTGGCAGTCAACTCGGATGCGTTAACGCAATGGTAGGTGTGAGCTATATTAAAATGAAGATCTTGGGGTACATGACTTAGGTCACTCAAATCTTGGTCAAAGAGACATCAATTTCCATAAATCACCTTCTTGATAATAGGGAGAATCAACCTTTCCACAGACCTGTCTGAGCAAACATAATGAGCAGAAATACACCCATTAGCCCAAACTTAGAATTTCTCTTAATGTCTGATTAGATCTTGGCCTGCGTAAATCTCTAAGAGAGATTTACCACACTGGTTGATTTCTGAATGAGGAAGTAGAAAAGGGGAAAAACCTTGGTCCTGATTCAATAATTAGTTATTAAATATGAGAGAAATAATTTCTCACAGTAGAAAGAAGAGGATGAATGGCAGCAACATGGTGGAGAAGCAAACAGCAAGGTTGGACAACTGCTTGGATGTGCGGAGTAAGGGACCATGAAGAGTAAAGAATCATACTGCAGTTGTGACCCTCAGTGGTGAGAATGAAGATAGTGCTTTTGACAGAGATAACAGAGTTCAGAAAAGGGGTGGGGGCATTTGGAGAGAAAGATAATGGCTTCCATTTTAGACACTTCAGTTTGGAGTGTTTGTGGGCTATCCCCCGAAATGTCCAAAAGGCAGTTAGTATTGTGACACAGGAGCTCAGAAGAGAAATTCGGGCTGGATATATAGATATGGGAGCCAGCTGATGAAGTCACTGAAAGAGTAGGAAAAGGGGGAAAAAAAAAAAAAGAGGGCCTGGACAGAGCCTTGGGAGATATCCACGGTTAGAGAGCATGATATGGATGATGACTGAGCAAAGGAAGCTGAGAAAGGAGCTTCAAGGCCCAAGTCAAGAATCATTTCCTCTGTTAGTCAGTCAGTAAATGTTTATTAAGTGCCTACTGTGTGCCAGACACTGTACTAAGAGCTGGAGCTACAAAAAGAGGCAAAAGGAGCTCCCAATCTAGTTCCCTTCCCAAATTACTTTATATTTACTTCCCTAGCACTTCATTAGTGCTTAGTAATAATGATATGTGTTTATCATACTGTATATTAGTCCCTTTTCAGAGAAAGAGACTGATTCAGAAATAGGAAGGAAAGTCATAGGTCAGACCTGTGCCATAAAAAGGCGATTTTATCAGCTATGTGGAGAAAGGATTGAAGAGAGGAGACACTGAAGGCAGAGAGCCTGATAGAAGGCATTCTAGTGAG